TCGTGCCCATCGGGCCATCCAGCGGTGATGGGCAGGCTAAAGCGTCTGCAGGCGTTACACTCAACACGTTAAACTGCAAAGAAGATGATTTCATGAACGAATGTCTGCTTTGACCAATGTTTTTAATTATTATTATAAAAAAAGTTTTTTTTTTTTTTTTTATCTTATATAGAGAAAACAGAGGAGGGGCTTTTTGGATTTGGAATTGGAATTGGAATTGGATGGCATAAAAACCTTCGAAATTTGCAGAGATATATAGATGTGTATGTGTTTGGATTATTTGCAAAATGAGATTTAATTGCGGATTAATTTGAGTAAATTCTTGCTCTTAGTTTAGTCGGTCAAAACACAATTGATTGATGTTTTAGTGTTGACGATGACTTTACTTTGTATACTCAATCTCTTACGTGGGATACGTCACACCCAAATCCTTCTAGAAGAGCAATGCGTTATGCAGGTAACGAAAACCACAATTTTATTATATTATAAAAAAATTATTACAATTATTAATAAATGTTAAATAAATACCAATTAAATTTCTTTAAAATCTTTAATAAAGCTTATTACCTTATTATATTAGAAAAATTATTAAAATTAATTATCAATAAATCTCAAATAAGTTTCCAATGGGTCTTCCTTAAGAGTTCAAAATCTAACTCAAACTTAAGAATCTAATATTTTAATTTAAATAGTATACTAGCATACTTTAATTCCTTAAGAGAGAGAGAGAATTGGAATAAAAAAAGATATATAATAATCGATAGAGATGTAAAGAGTGATTAAGAAAAGAATAATGTAATGGGAGGATAAAAGGAGAAAAAATAATAACAACCAATTTATTAATAGAGAAAGAGAGAATGCGAGGTGAATATAGGTGTATAGAAAAGTATAATGATAAAATATGTGAAGGTAAATTAAGAGATGATATTATAAGAAAAATTAATAACAGATGAAATATAGGTAAAGGAATATGTATTAAGAGAATAATGTTAATGAGTTATATCTTTTTTATTTTGACTTAAAATCTTCTAATATAGGCATTTGAGAAATAAAAGACAAATTGAGGTAAAAAGAGATATATAATAGTAATAGTTACACATGTAAAGGTTAAAGAAATTAATAAGATTTGATAAAGTATTCTATCATGTTTATTTCAAAATTTTTTAATTAATATAAAAATTAAATATCTATTTGAAGTGACTTTCATATTTATTAATTAAAAATTAATTTTATTATAAATTAATATTATTATATTTAATGATTACTAAAAAAATACAATACAAACGAATCAAGCCTAGCACAGTTTTAAAACCTAGTATATTAATAAATTTGGAAGTTCTTGAATGAATGGTTAAAGTCATGTGATTAATAAATTTAACTTTGATGATGTAGTTTGTTTGTACTTGTAAATTATTAGTTAAGTTAAAGGTTTGAAATTTGTAAGACCTTTTGAAAGTTTGAATTAAAAGTCTTGTTAAATGTAGGTTTA